AATAATCACTTTAATGTAGCTTGCGCTCACTGTTGTACACTAGAAGCCGCTCCGGGCGGATGACGTATGAGGTCGGCTTTGCTCATGCACCGCTCAGAAGTGACGCACGCGGAAGCGCAGGGGAGAGATCAAAAAGACATTTATAATTTTCATTTTTGTTTGAACTAATCCTTTAAGCGCCACTGACTGAATCTTTTTCAAAGGATTTGAGTCACTGAGATCAAGAGAATCAAAATCCCCTCCACTATAGGCATGCAATGGTATTGCCATGTTTGGACTTCCCTTTCATGGGAACTTTGAACTGCGTCCTCTAGGGGTCGCTATGGGGAACGCCTCGTCGTGACTGTATGCTTCAGACACGGGTCACGACGAGGCGTTCCCCATAGCGACCCCTAGAGGACGCAGTGTCTCGTTCCCTACTCAGGGAACCATGGTTACATAAGTAACCTGAGACGTTATGCTTCTACTATGGTAATATCATTGCATTTTTTTGAAGAGATTAGTATGGATGACAAATAGTTTGTACTGTACAGTAGAATACTGGTTTTCATTGATGACTAAAATAAAAATATCAAACAGGAATTTAGAAACTGTGATTTAAACTTGAGTTGCTAAAAAGGTGCAAAATAAGATTGTCCAGTCAAGCACAAACTAGACAGTCAAACAAATTTCCTTCTTGTAGTTTGGATTTAGCAACAATGTTCTTTTAAAGCACACAATAGTTTCGAAATTCCTATCTATGTATTTAACTTATGTTGTCAAATGAAATGCAAATGTTAACAATGACCTTACCAATAAAACAAAAATGCCATATAAATATTCCTAAAGAAATGCTAGCCTAATTAGCAAATTGGCCTTGTGACTAAACAGCTCTATTGTGTCTCCTGTGCATATATGGTGATGGTTAAAGGAAACTTGCACAGAAATAACAATGGCAAAGTTCATCTGTTAATACTGCAGGTTAATTATTGACATTGTTGTAGGCATAACATAACATTTACAATCACAAAAAAAAAGTCAAAAACAATGTCAGGTGCCTTTTTTACTCAGATCACCCCTTCCTAGTGCAGGTTGATTCCTATGACCTTTCTCTAGCAGGTCACTCCAACGATATTTTTTAAAGGTGCACTAAGAAATGTTTTTCAGTTTTGAGTTTTTCAGTTACCAGCTCTATTTTAGAAATACCACAAAAATCACGTGTATTTGTCACCATGATTAACTTAATCTACAACAAATAGTACTGTGGTAAAGTAAGTGTTCAGCTGGTCAGGAGTGGGGACCACCATTGTACGGAATAAAACTGATTTTTCTGGAGTCTTCATCTCATGTGAGTGGACATCATTTTAAACATGCCAGAAGCACACTTTCTTTAGGTTTATAACTTTTTAAGGTAAATACTTCAATAGACTGTAAAGCTATTTAAATACAATTATTCAGTAAAAATGTGAAAAGTACAGTTGTTCGTGTTTTTAGTTGAGTCTGATTTAAATTAATATCAGAACACATTTTATGAGCAATCAATGCAGAAATGCAGACATTTTCAAAGGGTTCACACATTTACAGCATTCTTAACCGTGTAAAGAATGGGTAACATTAAAACATTGGTGGAGTTTCTCTGCCCTCTAGTGGTTGAATCACAAAAAGAGACTATAGCACCTTTGATTTTTCCCACTGTGGCCCCCAAACATATTTGGACACTTAAGCCACACTTTTTGTAAAACACAATTACATTAGATACAAAATATCACACCACATGGCACCTGTAAACAAGCGATGCCAGACCTTTGAGCAAAATTAAACTTAATTGAATTCCATGTGAAATACACAGCATGAAAAAACGTAATGCTTCACCCCCTGGGTCAATATAATTAAAAATTTTAGAGAAATATATGATATTTGAGCATCACTTTTTTTAATAAAATCATATTGTACTTTATGTGAATATGAATTAAATTAATAATATTAAGGCTAAATTAAAAGTAATATTTATCAAACAAGCCAAAACAGTTAAATGTACATACTTATTAACATCTGCATTTCGCACGAGGGGTTGTTTTTAATATCATATTGCACTTAAGTGAACAAAGCAATTAAAACACATTGCAACACTTATATTCATTTCAGATCACACAAACATACATACACACAAACTTGCATTGGTACATAATCTCAGGTCTTCTGGCCTCACACAATAAAGACTCAAATAATAATATCACACACACATAGCAGCACAGATTCAAGTTAAAAACATATGGAACAACATACAAACAAAACAAAACAGTAAACTTCTATAGTCTTTTTTGGTCAAAAATCATACATTTCTTTAGCATTTCCATGTTCTCCATAACCACAATGAGCACTACAGATTTTTTTATTTATTTTAGGGATAGAAGATAACCCATTATCCTCAGTTTTGTTTGGATGTGATTGATATCAGCACTGTTTATATCTGTTATTCATTTGCACAAATCATATGAGGATCTAGTTTTTAAAAGGTGCCACAAAGCACAGACCAGAAAAGGCTTTCTTTTAACCTGCCAG